GCGGCCCATTAACCCAGACAGCTGGGAAATGATGGAAACCATCTTTTTTTCCCAAACGTTCTTATTATGCAGTGTTTATGTTTCAGGATCTGAGGGACTTTCGAACGTTGACCTTTCTTGAGCTGTCCGAGCCCAGAGGCGTGGGTGCTGGGAACTTGCTCCAAGCCTCCATCTTTCTATCTGGACCCCAGAAAGGATAGGCGCCACACAGAGCCAGCTTAATCCAGGGTTAGGTGTGCTGACCAGGGGGCCGCCTTCCTGAGGGCTGGATCCAGCTTTCTTGCAGCAAATTTTTCTTCTGCAGAAAGTGGCAGATCTAGGTTCTCTAAATATGGTTAATTCAAAAAATCTTTCTGGAGATGGATGGTGATGATGGTTATGCAACATTGTGAATGTACTTTTTTTCCCCCATGGGTATCATTTATTATAATGTTATTTATAATAATATTATAGTATATATTATATAACATATATGATATTATACTATTGTTTATTATTAACCTTATAAATTTCACACGAATGACCATATTTTAAATGGTCATTAGTCTGTAGGCTATTATTTTAAATACAAACTGTACCTCTTTTCAGTTTTGTTGAAGGTGAATGTGCTTAGTACCACTGAAGAGTACATTTTCAAATGGTTAAGATGGTAAATGTTGTTATGTGAACCATGACACAATTTTTTTAAAGGAGTAGGGAGAGTTTGTTTTCCTTTTCTTGGATGTTGGTGACTGCCTGGGGTGGGGTAGGGGTGGAATGCAGTGGAAGTGATGCTGTGTGGCCTCCAAAGAGAGGTCACAACAGGCAAAACTCAAGTCCACCTTTCTCTCTCTCTTTCTCTCCTCTCTCTCCTACTTTGTCCGTCCCTTTCTCTCTGACTCTCTCTCTCCCTCCCTCTTTCTCTCCTTCTCTCTCTTTTTCTCTCCATCTCTCTCTCTTTCTCGGTCTCTCCCTGTCCCTCCCTTTGTCTCTGCCTCTGTTTCTCTCTCCCTCTCCCCGCTCCAGCTCGGAAGGGATGGCTCCTCTATGAATGGTTCCTGCCCCTCTTGTCCCCTGGGCCAGGCTCCTTCCATGTGTTAGGCAGGCATTCTAGAGCTGAGACGTCAGTGTGAACAAATAAACATTAATTTTAAGTTGAGATGTGTATGAGGTACAAGGTGCTGTGCGTGCATATCCCTGGGGGTCCAGGAGCGCCACCCTCAAGCAGTGATCTTTGATGTCATGACTGAGCAGGAGCTGCAAATGGGTGTCAAGGGGAAGGAAGAGGTCAGGGATGGTGGAGTCCAGACCCCAGAACTTTCAGGAAGGGATGAAGGAATGCGCTCGGGGACTTGAGGGGTCTACCCACCCCCATGCTCGTGGGCCCTCTTGGGGCCAAGGCCGGCACCAATAGGTCCTCACCCCACCTCATCGCAGCCTCCTCACCCACTGGCCTCAGGGGTTGTAGCACAGAGTGGAGGCTGCGGCTGTGCAAGTGGAAGTGGAGGCTCAAGGGGTCAGTCCCCGGCCTGTGAGGTGGGGATTCCAGGTTCAGGTCCAGAAGCCTTTGAGAGTTCCACTAAGGAGTCTAAGTGTCTGTAAATAATTAAACACTGCAACGTTGAGGCCTTCTTTTTGCTGTCTTTCAACCTCTCTTCTCTTGAGAAGGTTCTGGCACAGGAGCGGGAGTTCCAGCAGGAGGAGGAAGGGCTCCAACCTCAGCGAGCCCTTCTTCCCTGCTAGTGAGCCGTTTCGGGCTCCCTGCAGGAGCCTCTGGGTCCTCCCTCCCAGCATAGTGGTCGTGGGGCTGCTCCTGCCATGCGGATGCCCTGGCTATGTCAAGTGACCCACCAGCTAGGGAGCAGCAAACTGTCTCCAGCCCTGGGCCCGTGCCCACCCTGGGCCCAGCCAGACCTGGGCCTCCCGGGCTTCCGCCTGGCTCACCCAACCCATCCCCAGGAAGGAGCACAGAGGATGCACGCTCCAGAAAGCTGACCTCGCTGCTCCTTTGTTCACCCTAATTGCACTAAAATCGGGCAGTTTTATGACTGACCACATGTCTATGCTGTTTGAACCTTCAAAGTCCTTCATCGTCACCACGCAGGCAGCACCTAATACAGATGCTGGTTTAACTACAGCTAGAAACACAACCACCACCTGCAGCACAAAACATTTCACATTTACTCCCCGGAGTTACTGGAGAAAGGAAGTTTCTAATGAATGACCCAAGCACGGGAATGTGTCCTTCTGTTGTCTGAACGTTCAGCCCAGGAGCATGTTTCTGAGTGTTGGGGTGCAGGACTTCTCTCTTCTGAATTCTGAAATTTTCATGCCCTAATATAACCTCAGATTGAATTCTTCTGGTGCAACCACTTTAGAAAGCAGAATACAGTTAGCACCAACAACCTTTTACATAGAGGGCTTTGTGAGTGGGCAAGTACTCTGGAGAGCCCATCTCAGTGGACAGGTGGGCCCGAGCCTTCAGGGGCAGAGAGGGCACCTCAAGGTCCCCGGAGACATCTGTTCTGCCCATAGCTGTTGTGGGAGGTTTTTAAAAGTGATACAAAGAGAATATTTTTAATTTCCCTGCTATTTACAGGGAATGTTTTGCTTCTATAGGACAGAAAATACATTGCCAGATGAAGGGTGCTTGCCAAGAGAAGACCAGCTGCAAATAATTTGGCCTGGAAAAAATATATAGTTTTTAGAAAACATTCTCCCAGCAAAAAAATGGCCCTGTGCTCCCCTGCTCTCTGTTCTTCGTGTTTCTCACCCAGCATGCGTTCAGGTTGTCATGGTAACCCTGCACTATCTTTCAGAGGAGTGAACAGAAGTTGAGTTCAACATGGAGGATTGGTCCATTTGAGTGTAATCTACTGAAATCAATGTTACCTTGGCCTTTTTCATCAACGTAGGCAAGACACATTTCATTTTTAAATTTTCAGATAAACTCAGGAATGAATTTATCTTTCAACCTCTCTTGAAAGAGAGGGGAAAGGGAAAAAGAGGTGGAAGAATAATAGCTGAGAGTGCTCTGGATAGTGATAGTGAACACTTGCTGCCACATTTCCATCCTGGGATTGATCTGGTTATCTTCTGCTGCATAACAAGCCACTCCAAAAACTCATAGCTTATGATAATGGCAATATTTTTTTCACCACAAATCTGTAACATTGACAGGCACTTGGCAGGAGCAAGTTCCCTCTGCTTCACACACTTCCGTCTGGGGAAGCTTGATGGTAGCTGATGGGATCACAGGTAGGCTAGCTCACGTGCCTGGTCGGGGACGCTGACTGTCAGCTGGGACCTCAGCCGGACCCTTGCTCTGGGCACTCATGTGTTGCTGGCTGCCTCGTATGCTGTGGGCTTCTTCACACAATGGTGGCTGGGTTCCAAGTGCGAGTGCTCAAAAGTCACATTCTGTCTGTCAGAAGCAAGCCAGCCCGTATCGAAAAGTTAGATTTCCCCCTTTCAATGAAAGAAGTGCAAAAGGATTTGTGAACATGCTTCAAAATGACCATGATGCCCATGTCAGATATTGCCAATTAGTGATTGAGCCTGGACTCCACTTCAGAATCCTTCCCAACAGTGTTCTAGTCATCCACTGGCCATCGCTGGAGCTGGCCCTGAAGTTAATGCCCATCTAACACCCTTGCTCTAGGCCAGTGGCCCAAGACAGCACAGGACCAACGCTCTCAGAAACCAAGTTCCTGCAAGTCCATAATAAAACCAGATAAATATAAACAATGTAATAAATTTTTCATAAAGACAACTTTATCCTATTTAAAAATTGTCCATTGTTCTGAGATTATGTACTTCTTACACTTTTGGAGTGTTCAGCTGCCCTTTCTCTTATGAATTGAGGAGATGATAAGGAGCAGTTGTGTTGTTTAACCCTCCTTTTAAAATATTGCTGATCCATGCAATCCAAAAGTCACAATCCGCTGCCTTCGGCCATTTGTTGGTGGTTGAAACTTCACTGTCATAAACAGTGGAGTGCCACATGGCACAGACACAAAACTTTGCACATCTCCTCTGTGAGTTCACCTTTGAAGGCCCACATGCCGCTCTGGAATCACTGCATCTTTTCCCTGCTTGAGTCTCTGGATTGAGCTCGAGTTTTGGTTTTCTTTCTTTCTCTTTTCTACCTTCTGCTTGGCCATCCTGTAGGCTGCACACCCTTGCTAAGCAATGTGTGTGTGCTCCTGGTGTCATAAGAAGCCCTGTCCTGTGGCAAACACTATCCAGCACTCAGAGCTACACATCCCCCTGGGAAATCCCCATGGGCTTGTCAACTCAACAGTGGGGAAACAGAGCCTCGGGACAACCAAGAGTCCTGGACTTTGACTCAGAGCTGCTCAGCATGACTTGGGGAAGATATTAAATGTGGGAACCAACCAAAATGACATAAGTGGTCAACAGTATCTAGATACAAACAACTCTGTCTGGGTTTGAAGGAGCCCCCGTGCCCATTGTCTCCTCCCTTGTCAATCAGAGAAATAATTGCCCACTTTACTGCCAGAGATGGGGTCCAAGTTAATGAGGAACTGTAGCAGCTACTTTTAATGCAAATTCTTGGAAACAATAGGAAAGTTGGAAAATATATGGGATCTTCCAGATTATGGAACATAGAAATAAGGAAAGGGAAAAAGGCAAAAGAAAGGAAGAGGAAGAAGGGAAATGAGAAGGTGGAAGACAGAGATCCATGGAGTTACAAGGTACCTTTCACCTAGAGCCGCAGTTTCACTTTAGGAGAAAACAAAAACTGGGCTTTCGTTTGAATGATGTTAAGGAAGTTACCAGTATGGTCCCTCTGTCTCCCTCTCCAGGGAGCAGGGCCTGGCCAAGTCTCATTATACTGCAGACCATTGGTCTTGAGCCCAAGGCTTTACAAGAGAAGCACAAACCCCAACAATTACAAGGGACATTGCTTTCCCACCCTGGTCACTCCCTACACAACAAGAAGAAAAACAAAACAAGCCCAGATCCTGTAAGCAGGGCCCAAAGAAAACATTGCGATGATGGACCTTCTTCAAGGAAGTGAGCTGACACAAAAGCAAAGGCAGAAAGCTCTTTCCAGCTCTCAGATTTCAAACCACCAGGGAATGTGCACTGTTCCAGGGCCTCTGAGAAGCCAAAAGCTCGGTTGCACAATCAGCCCTGCTGCCCCAGGCCAAGCTTGCTGTACACCGGGCAGTCAGGTGCCGCTCACCTGGACGGTCCACCTGCCCTCTTTGCCTTCAGCTTCTTCTGGCCACAGGAAGGGCTCTGTGTCAAGGGTGACTTCTTCCTGTTCCGAGTCTCAAGAACAGCCCTCCGGTATTTGTCTGTCTTGTCTGGCATCTTTCACTTAGCACACTGCCCTCTGAATTTGTCCCCTTTGTCACAAACGGCAGGATGTCCTTCTTTTTTAAGGCTGAATACTACTCCATAGTACATATATATGCACCAGACTCTAATGAAGTTGACCTCTTAGAAGCAGAAAGTAGAAGGGCAGTTACCTGGGGCTGGGGAGTAGGAAAAAAGTGTGTGGATTTTGGTCAAAGGGTACAAAGTTTCAGTGATAAGATAAATACGTTCTGAGGATCCATGAACAGCATGGTAACTATAGTTAACAATGCCGTACTGTATGTTGAAAATGTGCTAAGAGAGCAGATCTGAAGTGTCCTCACACACACAAAACTAATGGTAACCATGTGAGGCAGTGGAAGTGCCGATTAGCTTCATCTTGGCAGTCACTTCACGATAGGCACATGCATCAAATCATCACATTGTACAATTAACTGTATACAAGTGTATTTGTCAATTACATCTCAGTAAAGCCAGGGGGCGGAGTGGGGAGGAAGAACTTCTGTCTCGCTCTCGGTTTATGCACTGTCTTGCAAAGACAGCGTGTGTCACCATCACTGTCTGGCCCAGCCTAGTACTCTAGGGTCCTTTGTCCTGCAAATCAGTTCACACACGCCAACCAGTGTCTTCTCATGATGCACAGCTGGAAAGAATTGCTTTTTAAGCTTTAAAAAAATTCAGGACACAGCTTACCCTTGGTGTCCACCCACAGGTAGTCAGGCCCTGAGAACATGTCACCTGTGGACAAATGCTAACTTTCCCAAAACGAGGGGAAGTGCTGAGTGAGAGGTGAGGCCTTTGTCCTGCCCCTCTCTCCCTGAGTGGACCGACTGACCAACCCTCCAAAGCACTTTGAGAACCATTAGACAGAGTAGTTTACTTCTTCTCATGCAAATATTCCTTGGAGGAGCCTGGTGTTTTTATTTTAAGAGTTGCTTTCAGAAACAGAGGACCTCTCTTGTTTCACAAAATAAAAATACATGTCACAGAGAAGAACAAACCCACCCATGGCCAGCCTCTGGCTGTGTAATTGCTACTCTGCACAACAGGAAATGAGTGACCATGGCACAGGTAGCCCATTTGGGAGTCGCCTAGAGCCCTGTCCCTACAAAGAAATTATAACGTAGCAAAAAACCAGAGGCTCCCTTCCTTGAATATCCAGGCTTAGCCCTAGAGCACGGAAACAAGACCAGTGTAATTACCTCGCATGCATAATCACTGCTGAGACCTGAGAACAGAGGCCGGGCCCTGCCTGGTCTTCGGCTGTCTGGCCACAAGCGAGCCGCCTCTGAAAGCAGGCAGCTGGGGCACAGGGTGTTTGTGTGTGTGAAAATGACTCTGCTCCCCCGAAGCAAGGAGCAGGGAGATGGCTTTTCCCTGCGTGGCTTATCTGGGTCAGAATCAACAAGCAGGAGCATAAAACAGAGATCAGATCCCAGGAGGAAATGACAGCCAGGCCCACTGTGTGTGCGTGAGTGAGGGTAGGCATGGGGAAGATTCCTGTTTGCTTGTCCCTTTTAAAAAGCAAAACTGGCACAAGACTGTAGTCAGGAGCTCAGTACACAGGAAGGGGCGGGCGTCTGACAGCCTTCCCCAGAGCCCAGGGTGGCCTGGAGAGGAAGGCATGCTGCCCTGAGTGGTGTGCAGGGATCCCTGGAGTTTTCCTCCAGCCTTCATTGTGGTATAAGGGACTTTTCTATTTTGAGATTCGATCTTTTAGTTAGATTGCTTGGGGGACTTAATACTAGGAAAATTTTAATGCTTTTACCTAAAGAAGGGATAACCTTGTTTTGGAAGCTTATGATATGGAGGAAGGAGTTAACTGTAAAATCGGCAGGCCCGGGGAAAGCAAAACCAACCAAGCAGTAGCCAGAGTGGGTGCAGGGCTGTAGCTAGGGCTCCGGGCTTCCCCACAGCACTCCCACTATGCTAAGGGAAGCCTTTTCTAGCCTCCTAGTTAGGAGGCATCTCCTATTACACACTCTTGGAGCATTTCACAATTCTTCTGAGAATTTATTACCCTGGCCGATGAATAATTGTGCAATTACTCAATGTCATCTCTCCCTCTGGAACATGATACAAATGTCAGCTCCATGCCTGACTTGTTTGTTGCGGGATTCCCTGTGCCTCGACTAGTGCTTTGCACATGCAAGAAGCTCATGTTCCCTGAATAACTGGATGGGTGGGTGGATGGGTGGGTGCATGGATAAGAACGAACGGTTGGATAGGTGGATGGACAGATTGAACAGACAGGCAAGTGGATGGATGGATGGATAGAAAGATGGATGAATATAGATGGGGATAGATAGATGAGTAGATGAATGAATGGGCATGTGAATAAATGATTGCAGAAATGCATAAATGAATGAGTAGATAGATGAACGGGTGAGTGAAGTAGATGGGTAGATGAATGGATGAGGGGATGGGTGGATGGATGGATGGATGAGCCCACAAGGTCATTAAAGCATTTTGTTCTCTAACTTCTGAATTGAACTCCACTGGGTGTCTGTAAGAAGAGCTTTTACAGAGGGAGGTTGAACACCAAGCTTGTTGGACATGAGTGATGGCAGCTGGCGTGGTATCTCTGTCCTAGATGCACTGATGGCAGCAGAGAGCTCTGTCCCTTGGGAGGGCATTGTGCAGGGCCTTTAGGCAGTTTCCTGGGCCCTGTCTGCAGAGCCTAAACAGATCACATCTGGTCCGTCTCAGTAGAGCCTCCTTACCCTTTAAACCGTACACGTATTTATGTAACACTTCAGGCCTGATGGAGACCAGATGTGACCAAATGGTGCTTAATGCTGCCCAGGAATGCTGAAATACCAACCTAGACGTCTTTTATGGCTGCTCTTGCTCAGCAGTCTCTCTTTAAATCTTAGGTTTGAGCCCTGATATACGACCATTAACTTCATTCTTCTGTGAAACAGAAACATCTGGCAACTTCTATTTGATTTGTTATCCTTATGAGAGAAATACAACCATGTACAACTTCTATTCTCAGTTAGTGTAGTACAGTAAAAAGAATGTTGATGGGGAGGCAAGAAACCCAGACCCAGCTCCACCCTGCACCTCCCTTGCTGGGTGGCCTTGGGCCAGTTGGTTCTCACCAGGACTCAGTTTTCCATTGGTAATTTTAAGAGCTATCATTTATTAAACACCTCCTGAGTTTCTAGGCACCCTACCTTGTGCTGAGTGAAAGTTACAGATCATTGCCACAACTACACCCCTATTCAGATGTGCAAATGGATACACAGGCGTGACTTTCCAATATCCAGTCATCCTTAGGAGCCAGATCCCAGTCTCGATCTTCTGACTCTAAAACCACCTCTTCCCACTAAACCAAAGATCCGCTTTCACCTACAAAATAAGGACGTGCAGCTGAATCGCTATTTTCTGAATTTGTGTTCCTTGGACGCTTCTGTTGGGAGTGACTAATAAGCCCTTTGACCCCTCTCCAAAGAATGAGGAAATGTCCCTGAACACGCATTTGGGATTTTGGACGCCCACAGCACATTACAGATGCTACAAGAATTTAAGCCTATTTACTGCGGGGTTTCTCAAACTCATTGGGCCGCTAGAATGTCTATGTCCCCTGAAACTCCTATTAATATCTTGAGGATCATGGATGCACATTCATACAAAAATGTTGATTGAGTAGGTTTCACACTCCTGGCAGGACAGGCTGTGTCTCTGCACTCAGGGAGCAGCCACCTTACTGACCCAGGTGCAGCCCAGCCCTGATTGCCCCTTCTATACTTGCCTGTTTACACAGAGCTCCTCCCTTCTCCCTCCATGGTTGTATTTACAATGTAGAGATACTCAATACTGTCAGGCTGCTGCTACTTGAGAAAGCTCACAACACACTTTCCATAGGGTTTGGGAATGGAATTGAGCAATGCCATTTAGTGTCACCAAGAGTAGTGGGACCTGGTGCACTTATTTTAAGTGTCACTCCCTGAAAGGGCCAGACCTGGATTCTGAGTGACATCTACCCAGGGCAATTTCTCCATTGGACGAAAAGAAATGTACAAAGCATCCTAATTATGCTTTTGCAACAAGCTTTTAAGAAAAATTATATTGCAAAGATTCCAATCAGTGCAAAATTTGCCCTGAAGTTCCTTATAGCTTAAAAGCACCATATCCCTCTGCCCCCTCAGCTTCCTTCTGCGGTTTCAGGTGCTCACGATGCAGAAGGGTTAGGGGCTGCGGGAGGTCCACATGCTTTGGCTTTGATCACAAACTGCAGCTGTAGCTTCATCTCGGTCTCTGCTCTACTTAAGGACAGCTGCCCTCAGAATGCCAGGCGGAAACATCTAAATTCTACTAAAATGATCACTCATTCCGAATCAACAGCTAGGAAGAGGCCACAGAGCAGAGCCCTCATGAATTTGGAACTTGCCAAACTGCAAAGATGGTCCATAATGCCCCGGCAGAGCGTGTGAGAGCCCAGCTTCGGATTCGATGCGTCCCGCCCAAGGCCCAGGCCAGTGCAGCAGTGCTTCCTCAGACGGGTGTGTGCTTCGGAGCCCTGAGACGCTTCCCAGGCCAGAAGCAATGAAGCCCCAGGACGTCCTTTTCTGCAGGCCGGCACCCAGTCCACAATCCCGAGGGACGAGAGATGGCCATGTCATCTCCCACTAACAGCAAAGCCCAGGGTGTGCAGTTCCACCCCCTTCCTAAGATACCTGTTCATTTAGAAAACCAAGAAGAGAGCCTCTTGCTCCATGCAGCATTTCTGAAAACAAGCAAAGCATTTCAGGGGAGGAGCAGCAGGCAGCTCTGGAACTTTGCACACACCAGCCTGGAAGGCTTTGACTGGAAGGCAAGCAGGACTACCTTTTGCCATGATGATCTTTGGAGGCTCACATTTCTTCTTATCCTTTCTTTAAAAACAAAAACAATGTTATTCTTTCTTAAGTGTCTGAACTCAAACAAGTAAGAGGCCAGGTTGCCCAGATAGGATTTTATAAAATGTTTCCTAGCAGTTAAAGAAGTCTATTTGTTTTTAATTGTGTTACTTTCCTCTCTGTGACTTCTTGAGGAAGATGTACAGAAGCAGAAGCGTGCTGCTCCACGGAATTAAACATAAAATTCCAACTCCATCAGATGGGCTTTGGAAGCAGCCAAGGATGACTTAGGGGAGTCTCCAGTTTATCCAAATCCAGTGTGGTTTTCTGTTTGTTTCAGCTTAATTTTTCTCTTATTATAAAAGTTAACCAGGTTATAAAATAAAATGTGGAGAATATGAAAGGTATCAAATACGAGAATAGAAATCACTTGTGATAACCCCATCGTATCTGTTTTTTTCTAAAAGGAATCTTGACTGATTGAAAGAAAACTCGGAATCTCTGTGAAACCCCCAGTCCGAGTCATCTGCAGCGTCCAGAGGGTGGGGCTCTAAGTGTTTTTTGCACTGAAACTGTGTTTCTGGTCATGAAAGAGGAGAGACGAACAGCAGTTTATATGCATTTGATTCCATACCAAAATGACTACACTCACCCTCTGTGTCTCAGGAAACTGCCAGCTTGGCCTTGGCTGAATCTTTAGCAAACGTTTCACTTAATCCCAGCGCCAGGCATGAAGAGCTGCTTGGCGCTTCCTGCCTTCAGATGTGGGCGGGGAGGCCGGTGTGAGGCATTCAGATCTGCAAGCAGAGCGACCCAGAGGGCCAGACAGATCGAGATGGGACACTGACCCGTGATCGGCCTGAGCAAAGCTCCCAGGGCTGGGCAGTGGGCTCAAGGTCACAGTGGCTCATCTCCGCTCCTGACCCCTCAGAAATCAGCAGAAGCACAAAACCCCTCACTGCAAGAAGAATGGACAGCACCTCATCCCTGAAAGACCTTCACTGAGCACCATATTCAAAACTGCAGACTCCCGCCCCGCACGGTGCTTCCCAGCTCCAGCTTCCCCACTACGCTCGCCTCCTCGCCCACACGCCTCTACCTCCTCATGAGGTTCTGGCTACCTTGACCTCCACCGGAATTAACGGATGCACCCAGAGAGGCAGGGGCGTGGGCCTGTTTTATTTATGTCTTTATTCTCAGAATCTAGAATACCACCTGGCCAAACAGGTGTCCAATAAATGAGGAATAAACAAATAAATTAATGGAACGCATTATTCTCTCGGAAAAGGACAAAGACAATAGAAACACCAGAAATGAGAGCAAAAGCTCTACAGATGTCACAATCCAAACAGAGAGGCACCTTCTGGGGATAACAAAAGCAATGCATTTGATTTGAAAAGGAACATTTTTCTTCTAGCGGAACACCAACTCCCATAGAGAAAAAGATGCGATCTTGGCATACCACTTGGCCTAAATCGTGAATAAGAGTGACATAAAAATTATGATGCAGCCACACTCACTAATGTATTGTTGTGCACATATTTTATTTATAATTATGATAACAAATTTATGTCTGTCTAAGTCTCCCACTAGACTGTCAGTAGAAGAGGCAGAGATTTCTTTTATATCTTGTGCAAACTCTAATTGCTGGTATGTAAAAGAGTATAGATAGACACAGAAAATACTTTTGAAAAACTGAACACTCGCCTACAACTCAACTGCAAATATCAAATACAACATCCCAGGTGTCTCACCGTATTTGCTTCCTGGGGCTGCCACAACAAAGAACCACACAAGAGGGTGCTAAAACAACAGAAATCTCTTACCCCACAGTTCTGGAGGCTGGAACCCCATAAGCAAGGTGTCCGCAGGGCTGGTTCTTCTAAGGACTGTGAGGAACAATGGGCTCAGGCCTCATTCCTTGCCTTGTGGGCGGCTGTCTTCTCCCTGTGCCCTCACATGGTTGTCCTTCCATGCATGTGTCCTTATCTCCTCTTCCTGATAAGGACACCAGTCATATTGCATTAGGGTCCACCCTGACAGTCATTTTAATCACCTCTTTAAGTATCCTATCTCCAACTCCAGTCATATTCTGAGGTACGGGGTTAGGTTTCCAACAAATGAATTTGTGGGGAAGTCACAATTCACTCATAATCCCCGCCCCCTGCAAAGAGCATTCCCCTCCAGCTCTGAAGCTGATGAGGTGTTCACTCCCAACCCATCACTCTCACAGGAACCTTCTAAGGCCATAGGTGGGACCCCCCAACAACGTGTTTGCATGGTCTTGCTTCTGTGAGATTTGAAAAGAGCAGTGTTGTCATGGCAACTGGTTTCCAATGCTCATTTCCACTGCCCTTCACTCACACTGTCCCTCATGTTGGGGGACATCAGAGTGGCTGCAGATATTTTGAGATCCAGCTAATGGGAAGGTCCAAGGGACATGCTTAATTGGAATGTTGAGTATATTTTCACGGCTTAGCCACTTCCATGTATAAGTAACTTACTGCTAGCCAATCCAGAGTAGGAACGACTTCGTGGAATGGCACCCTGCACATTGTGCCAGTCCTCTCATGTCTCAACATGAAGGTGCACTTATTTCTTACAGCTCCATACATGTGGGTGGTAGAAGAGAAACACGCTTCAAAGGGCCAGCAGCCTAGTCTATGGAAAATTCTCTCAGTCTTTACACTTACAAGGAGTAAGTAGTTCTCACTGATGTCTAGGCAAAAGCAATGTTTTCTTGTCAGGAAAATGCTTAAAGTGCAGTACATTTAATTATAAAGACAACATATATTTCTCCATTTTGATGAAAGTCATGTGCAATAGAACTTATCAGAACTCCTCTTTTGTCGGGCAAAGCACCATAGTATTAGTTTTAAAAGGCACATCTTACCCACCAGAGTAGCAATTGGCAAATTAGGAATTCTAATGAATCTTGTCCTCAAGAAGTAGACAGTTCCTGATGAAACATGCAAATCACCACCAACGCAGTAAAATTCCTCAAGAAGCAAGTATTTCAGAGGTGTGTCAATTTATAAAAATGTTATTTTTATGATACTCTGAGATCCACGGTATTTGTCAACGTTCGAAAATACATAATTTACTGTGATTTCTTTTCTCATTCTAAGTAACCTTTCTCAGGTGAGTTTGCCTCTGTAATTTTAAGTCCTGGATCTGCCCCGACCTGGCACATTACAATTTCACATCCCTAGTAACCATGTATTTCAGAGATTTAATGTCCTCCCTACATTTGGGGATCAGCCATGTGACTGTGGGGTCCAGGGAATGGCAGGAGCTGGGAGGGACTTGGGGCAAGAGACCACAGCACAAGGAAGACTCAGTCAGATGTGGCAAGGCCCCTGAACTGAGTGACTTATGCATCCTGAATACTATTTGCAGCTTGTGTCCATAGATGGCTCTACCACATACAAAGGACACATCCCTGGGCTGATCTCATTGTCCCGGGAGCCTTGTTTCTTTATTTCTGAAAAGCAGGCAGTGACTGTAAGTAACTTCATTGGGTTTGGGTGAAGGTTAAGGGAGAATAAGACATGACTGTGCTTTGGAAGCTCAGCTGTGCATTTGACATAAAGGGTTATTTTTCCGACGGTGGGGAGGTGTGCAAAAATGTGCATTTTTAAAATGATTATTAGCAAATATGTTTCTGGGTAGAGCAACAGTGAGAAATTGGTGAAGAGTGGGGAGAGAAATGTCAAGATAGGCAGGAGAGAGGGCCAGTGCTTCAGAGATCCTGGTCCTAGAGCACCCTGGGATGAGGCCATTAGAAAGGGGTAAGACAAAGAGATTCCAGAGTGAGGCTATCTCTAGACAGGAGGCTGGGTAGTCCCCTGTACCCCAGGCAATGATATCTAGACAATCCCTAATATGATTAGCTTCTTAAAAGTCCTTTTAAAAATGTGTTCAGCTGGAAAATAAACTCCCGTGGCTAGAAGAAACAGAAAGTCCAACTTTTAACTGGCAGATGGCTCACTTAGATTCCGACAAGGCCCGTTTGAACTCATGCTACTTAGGGATGCATAAATTTTTGTTTCTGTTTTCTCCCATTAACTGCTTGGGATTGCAAAATGAGGGATAGTTAGCAGACATCATTTCACCATTAATGAAACATACATTAAAACATTCCATAATGTAAAAGTATATCAAAACATTACACTGTACTCAAATATATATAATTATTATTTGTCAATTAAATAAGTTTAAAATTAAATAAGTTTTAAAAATGTGAAATAAAAAAGACATTTGGAATTTGGGGCAGGGGAATAGGATGGGTTAAGTGAAAAAGTGATCCTTTACGTAAGAATCCTAAGTCTGAACACTGACAGACTGTGCAATGGAAAATACTGGAAAGTCCCCAGTGCTCTGGATCATGTGAGATAAAACTGGTTTCTGAAATAATTGGGCCCATGTGTTGTTATCAGAGACCTAGATCTTTTATCGACATTCTTTCTGTTAAAAAAAAAATGTGCAGTCTAATACTTGCAAAGGACATGTGATTGTTCCATTTGCATTTCTGTCCATACCACACGGAAGTCATTTTAATGTAAGTGGTTTAGAATTAGGGCTGGGAAAGGAGTTCCAACTATTGCATCAGAGGGGGCAACCTCTCTCTGCTGGTGCCGTCCAGCAGTCAGGCTCCTTCCATTGTAAGTCATGCCCTGCTACAGGAGAGTTCTTGAAGTTGAGCCCAAACCAGCCTCGTCTTCATGTCACTCATTCCTTCGATTGAAGAATTATCTGCTACTTAATCCCAAAAATATCATCACGGGTGCTCAAAGATGAACGAAGAAACAGATAAGAGAAAGTTAAAATCTTTCTCTTATCTTATTGGTGGACAGACCACCAATGGCAAAATCTTCCAACGCAGGATGGTTCCCGACAATTGTGGTTGTTTACATTTTTCTAGGAACGAAAAGAATCGATTTGAGAACTCTCTGGAGAAATTCTTCTAAAGCAG